TTGGTCATAGCAGTAGTCAAAACATGAAGCAACTCAACGTGTGAATGTGTGTGTGTGTGTTGATTAAGTGGTGTGTAGCTAAAAACATTCTCATGACCTCTAGTAACATGTCATGACATTAAACATAAGAACATATTATGGCTAAGACTACAGTTATACACGTCATAATAATAATATTAAACACCCTGTCTGCTGACAGTCATCAACTCTTCTCTCTAGTTATCCTTGACCAGATGTACCCTGTAGAAACTCATAAGCATGACTAAGCATTTAACAGTCTAACTAGACATCCTATCTCCACTAAACATTTCTAATACATAAAGTATCTATCCAATATCTATCTGACTAAAAATACCTAACACTTCTCAGATTTGTTTAACAACCCAATTGAGACTGTCCTCATTTGTGTCAGGAGGCTATTAGGATAAATGATTATGTGTTAAAGGTTGGCAGCGTCTAGCGACTGTAGCAATTATGACACAAGCAAAGAAGCAAGTTAGGTGACATGATAACTAGGGCTGGAAAATTAGAAAACTCAATAATGCCTTGAAAATTGTGACATGGCAATGTTTTTCTGGCAGCAAAAATGAAAGACTGGCTGAAATTTCTCATACATGGTAAGGTTTAGGCACAGAAACTACATGATTATTTGAATTTGGGGGAGACCCTGGGTTTGGTTAAAACAGTCTCAAATGAAAAGCACAACATCGCACAAGGGTGGACTCGGGACACAATCTCCGGTGGTGTGAAAGTCAGCTGTTTGTTGGCCCCAGCCACCACCTTATTGGTGTCTTTAACTGTATAGGTCTGTATAGTACTGTATAGCTCCAAACCGTAGGACACAGTGTTAGCTTCCTGATCCACACTCCAGTCCAGTAGGTGGCAGTAGTGCACCAGGCTGTTGTTTGCCAACTGGCTCAAGTCACCAAGAAGAATAACACAACAGCCATCGGATGTAATACAAAGACCGTTATTGTGACACTACTACAATATGTGTTAGGCTGTGGCCCAACGTAGCTATTGTACATTTTTATGTGAGACCGGGCTGCATTAGAAGGAGGATGGGGCGGATAGCTAGGCTAATAAAACACAGAATGTGTGCAACTTGTTTTTTCAAGTTGTTTTTGTTCCTAAACCTAACCAAGTAGTTTGTGTGACTGAATGTATTGAAACTGTGACAGTTTCATAACTGTAACAGCATGCTTATGGCTGTTTTTTATGATGACGAAGGCTTGTGAAGCTTCCAGGTGCGATGTACTGTGTTGTTAATGTTGGTGGAGGTCGTGCAGTTCTGTTTGCCAACTGAGGAGAGCTATTTCAGGAGATGCTCCTATTAGTTGTGTGAGAGGGAAGGGAGGTCTTGTTGATTCAAATCTGCTAAGTATGATGTAATGCTCCACTTCTGGGTCCAAACTCCTGTTGTATCCGGTACTTTTTACCATACGGACTCTGAGAGACGAGGCAGTCCAAGTAACTACAAAACAGTGCTGATTTATTCCATGAACACAGGTAAAAATTAACATTACACGCTCAGGCATCTTGCACCCCCAAACTGCACGCAGGCAGATGAAAGATGAAAGACCCCAAACCAAACCAGGCCTATACATTTATCTCTTCGGTTGGGCTAGCCCCATACTACACAGGAACGCCAAACCATGATGTGTCTCTGTTGCCAGCTTTGCAGCTGGTCATAGCAGTAGTCAAAACATGAAGTAAATCAATGTGTGAATGTGTGTGTCTGTTGATTAAGTGGTGTGTATCTAAAAACATTCTCACAGACTTCTAGTGACATGTCATGACTTAAACATAAGAACATATTATGGCTAAGGCTACAGTTATACACGTCATAATAATAATATTAAACACCCTGTCTGCTGACAGTCATCAACTCTTCTCTCTAGTTATCCTTGACCAGATGTACCCTGTAGAAACTCATAAGCATGCCTAAGCATTTAACAGTCTAACTAGACATCCTATCTCCACTAAACATTTCTAATACATAAAGTATCTA